CGTGATTGACCGGCCCCAGCCCGGCCCTGACAGAAGCCCAGGGTGATGCTGAACGCTGCCAGTTCGTCTCAGATCACATCATTAAAATAACAGAAGTATACATCCATGTAAGACCACTGCTCACTTGTTCGTCTTCATTTTTTAGACGTGTGATGGTTTCTTGCTGTTGAATTTGGCCAGGAAGAGATAGGAATGCCTCACAAAACACTCATTCTTAAGCCTCTCAGGTTTGTATTTGCTCAGGGACCTCTCCCGCAAACAAAGATTACTTTTTTAATTAGCCGTTCGGGAAACACTTTCCAAAATATTCTCAAACAAATTTCCTGTAGTGATTTGCGTACCTGTTAACGTATCACAAACACACACATTCACAAACATTTTTAAAAGACTTGTGTTCGTTCAGTGGAAAACTGATTCAGTGTAATCAGAGTATTTACTCTTTTATGGTGGGTCAAATCCAACAATCCATACAAAATGCAGCTACTGATTTTTTTTAAATATAAAATATATATATGTGTGTGCACGCGTGTGCACACACAGAGCTTTCTATCCAGAAAACTGTCCCACTGGGACTACTCATAGGTATGTCTTTGTAGGACTATAGCTTAGATTAGTATGTATATTCGTATATCTACAAATCTATATCCAATACTTAGTAATTATTTTGATGACTTTAGGAATTCTTAAGTGTTACCCATATTCTTGTTTCTGTAGCTTAGGTGTTTTTTTTAATATATCAATGCATTAGGCTGTAGAGTGTTTGCTTTTTGTATAAACTCAGCACAAAGTATCAAATGTCCAAATAACTACAAATATGTCTTTTAGCAGTGTTTGGAGCACAAGTGGTGTTTTTAAATAACTGTTGTTAATATGACTTTATTTCTGCATATTCAGTTAATTTTTTTTTTCCTAAAGAATTTTTTTTCTCAGTAGTACACCAATAGCGTAGGCTAAAGTATGCAACAGTATGCTTTGGGCTGCCGCCTCATCTCATTGACACTTGAAATTAATCTGCACTAATGCTTCTGAAGATAAAGGAACTGCTTTTTCTTGTGTAGAACAACTGAGAACTCAAAGTGTCTCATACTGTTATGCTTTGTTTTAATATACTAGGGTAAACTTCAGTAAAGTTCTTAAATGCTTTCTAAGTGGTAAAAAAAAAAACCAGCTCTGATTTCTCTTTCAAACTTTAAAGTGTAGTCACATCTCTTTTCAAGGGGTCACGAATGTATCACCAAAGCTACATACATACAGTCATGGATTTTCCTGTTCGGGAAAATGAAGTTATGACTTTATGTACTTTTTTTTTTGGGGGGGGGGGTAAGCTAATTCTGTTTTGTTTTGTTTTTTGCTTTAGCTAAAAAACTAGGAATTACTGATGTGCCAGCTGAGGTGGTCACTTTTATTTCCCATGCAACACAAAACAGATTAAGAACAGTGATAGAAAAAGTAACAGTGATAACCCAGCACCGAATGGAGTCGTACAAAGTAAGTGTGCAAAGAAAGGTATTGTATGTCACAGAAAGATGCGGTATGATGCCATTTTTTCTTGGCGCACGGTAGGTGTTTTGTGTTAATTCTGTGTGCAAAGCATGTTTTAATTGCAGGTTTGTCTACCTCACCAAACAGAAAGTGCTGGGATGATAGCACTGCTTGCCAGATCTGTCTTCCTCCTCTGTGATAGAATTTGTGTGTAGAATTATGTTTTCATCCTTCCGTGCTAAAGTGTCTAGCATGGAGCATCTGTTAAGCTATTTCTGCTCATGGATTGCAACTAAGACTGTTGGTTCTTGATGTCTCCTTTTTTGACCAAGATATCCATTGGTTGGATCAGAATTTCTTCAATATATAGGAATCTATAGTAACTTCACATATCCGTGACTGTGAGAAATACCACTGTTTTACAAAAGCTACCAATTTGTCTTAAACCAGCAACTAAAGAATTCAGCTGTAAATTCTTCACTGTAATTAAACAATGATGTTCTTTTTTTAAAAGAACATTTCAAGCTAAAATGCTACTCTGATTCCATTGTTAGTGATTGTATTCTTGAAGAAAATTGAAACAATTTAGATATCTTAAACCAGGGGGGAAATTTAAATAAGAATCTGCAAATCAGTTTGAAATTCAAATAAATTGAACGTCTTTATTGATAAATATGAAATATCTTTTTTGATAAAAGTAAGATGCTAATAGTTGTTAAACTGGTGTAAAAGCAACATGGCAATAACCATAGTTGTGGGTTGTATCTAAGCTGTGTTTAGATTTATGTAGTGTATATATACAATGAGTGGCTCTGCTTTGGTTTTTTGCTTGTTTTGGGTTTTTTTTTCTGTTTTCCTTGAGTGAAAGCCTTGTCAAACAGCTTTGGACTGTATCTTTGCCCACCAATTTCCCAAACCTGAGTCACAGTTGGACTAATTGTATGTGGCATTTGCAAGAAAAATTATCTTTGGGATCTGTGACTAGAATCAACATTACTGTGATAGAAAAATGGATTTAAAAAAAAATAAAGGCCACTGTGCCTGTGTGTTACCTACACTTACATCCTTCCTTGCAATTGATGGACATATTCTACTATATTGGACTAAAAATCTCCTTGTTTCTTTCCAATATTCTTCATCAGCTTCAGCAGTGTTAAATCCCTCCTTCCTTCTCCCTAGGATGGTGTCTGAGAAGAAAAAACTTTGTTTAGTCTGTGTTAAGCCAATGATGCATTTAGAATAATATCTTAACAGATTCTTAGGGAGAAAAAGAAGTGGGTTGTCTCTCATTGAACCGTAGCATTTTCATTGTCTTCTGTATATTTCTTGGTTAATGGTTTTCTTTGATTTCATAGCATTGTAGTCAAAAAGGAAAATATTAAGCAGATAAATCAGATGGAAGTAATATGGATAACTTATTTTTCTGACTGACATTCTGAGTGTTCCCCGTGCAGCTTTATGACACAGTTCCCCGTGTCATAAATTCTTACTGTTTGTTGGGAACTAGGAAAGCTTGCATGCTCTTAGTTGTCATAAGTTCTTCTATTTTAATTGTAATTAGAGGCTTATTTTGAACCAAATTTTTAGCTTTAATGCTTTTATAATGCTGCATCTCAATCGTGTGTTACTAGTTCAAGATGAGTGCAAATACAGGAATTGCAGTTTATAACCAGGCTTATATCCTATATCTAGGATTGTTCAGTAATAAAGTTAAGCATCGTAGGGGTTTCTAATCAGTAAGTCTGTTGGTTTTATTTTTTTTAACTCTTGGATGTCTCTGGTGCTGATAAATCAATCCTTGGTTTTTTTTATTTGCTTACATATTAATTAAATAATAAGATTCTAGCTGTTTATTAACCATAGGCTGGCTTCATTCCCCTGAGCTTAAAAAAAATAAAAGATTTTTTTTTTTTAATTGTTAGTACAATGGAAAGATTTTAATATATAACACCTATAGTCTTCTTTAAATGCATAGTCTTGATGAAAATGCATGGTTTTGTAAAACATTGTTGTTTTACAGGATGATGAATGGTATGAACAAGCTACAGATGTCCGATCACAGTTAAAGTTTTTTGAACAGTTGGAGCGTTTAGAAAAGCAAAGGAAAGATGAACAAGAGAGGGAAATCTTGCTAAAGGCTGCCAAGGTATTGATATTACTCTATTTTTTTAAACTACTTACCAATTCATAGTCTTCAAACAGTTATTTAATTTCGTGAAATCTGTTTCATAAACACATTTTATTTCTTATAACGAAAAGATACTGTTGTTGTGACATTACATCTTTAATTCATGTCATGCTATCTTATCTATTATGACTCCAGACCTACCTGACTGGAATGCTCTTGCATTTTCAAGATACAGCTCTGAATTTGATGAGTTCTTGGGAATATAGGAGACAATGATTTCAAAATAACTTGGTGAAATAATTTGCACAATTGCCTTTGAAATTTAATAGATGTCAGGGTTTCTGTGCCATTTGAAAATCATAGCTTACACTTCTGGTATTTAAACACAATTCAGTAAATTGTGACGGATTTTTTTGAGGCTTTTTTCTTCTTGAGTTTCTACACTTTTTTTAAACAGTTTTGTTCATTTGTTTATTTTAATTTAAATACTACGTGTCCCAGTTGGTGTTCCGGTCACCTCTATATAACTGCATTATTTAATTGATTCATGCCTGTCTTCAGTTAACTCTCAGTTCTTCTGGACTTTTTCCTTTGTAACTTTAATTCCAAAGACTGAATTTTCATACATGCAGTAGAACAAACTATATTGTTTCAAGAGCCATACAGGTACAAATAAATCTCCTGTTTATAACTGCAAATTTAATTATATTATATATATCATATCAAACTGCAAATAAGTTTATCCCTAAGTTATCTCAATTTTCATTGCATTTGCATTTTCATTCAACTATTTATTGCATATTCTGAAGAGATTATACAGAACAACTCAATGCTCAATTGTAACACTTAGCCTCCTGATTTTGTGCCATTAATATTCAAAAATTGAGAGAATTAAAAAAAACAAACAAAACCTACCCTTGCTTATTTCAGAAATTTGTTTCTCAATTTGGCTCCTTTAATCTGTCCTGGTTTCACTCTTAATTTATAATTGTTCACATTATTAAATATTCCACAAATTTCCACATAACATATATACTCTTTAAATGTTTAGATGACAACAGATTTACTGTTTTCATTCTTAATTCTTTTTTTTTAAAAATAAAGAAATGCTTATTTTTTTTATCCTGTTTTCTCCATTCAGTGAATACATCTTGATGAATCATGTTTTCTTTTCTGTGTATCCTGCTACTTGTTTGTTCTGTCGGTGGTGTTTTTTTAACGGACATGGAGGAAAATACAGTAGCTTGTAGTCCTTAGTTAAAAAATGTTTCCCTGACTGCACAAAGCCTTACGCAGATTTATCTGAAGTTGGGTTAGATGACCTCCTGCTGTCCCTTCCAACCTGAATTACTTCATGATTCGATGCTCTTTGGTTTTGTGTTTGGGTTTTTTTTGTTTTAGTCTTTAATAATAGAAACTCCTGTGAAGTCAAAATTTAGGAAATAAATACAGAAAGAGCAAATTACAGAATTCTGCAACAAACAAATATAAAAAACAGAGTCCTCTACTTGATTTGAAGAAATTATCTTAATGAAAATAATGAATGCATAAATCAACTTCATAACCAGAAAGTGATAGGGTACAGCTTGGCATAAACATATGGTATACTAGAAAAATAGATGAAGGTATTAAAAAACCAAAACCAAACCACAAAGTAGCCATGAAAGAGCAATGCTGATTTATCAGTATTAATGTTTAGAAAGAGAAGTTGAAGGTACTGTGAACCTTTTGGGAGGTGCTTATGCAATGTGGTGATTTAAGTGTAAATGCCAATTTGGAACTGAACTTATATTGATAGCATCTTTCTTTTGTGGAGCATTCAGCTGGCTCTCAACCCTTATGTTTCGATAGATTGACGACCTATTGCAAGACTTACGTAGGCCGTAGTTTAGCAAAATATGGTCAGATTACAACTTTTTATTCTAAATAATAGATTGTTCATGATTTCCTTAGAATCTAGGTTGCTGCTCAAATGACAGACCACCTGTACATTAACAGTGATAACTGTTGTTGAGATCTTTATTCTGAATTCCTATGTACTAATTCCTTACCCAGCATTTATTTTTTTCTGGTCTTTTATGAACTTGTCTAGTTGTCTAAGAAGATCTAAGTCTTTGTGGAAAGGATGCGGTAATTGTAATGACACAGTTATTAAATGGACACAGTTAAAATCTGCCCCAGCTGCCCTGATAACTAGTGATAAAGATCAGTAACCATTTCCTGTCTGTTTGCAGCCTGCTGATTGATATTTGTGTCTGCAAAGGGGGTAATGATTAAACTAGCTCTGGAGACTGAAATATCCACTATGCAAAGGCATTGTTTCCCTGATCATGGCATCTTTGTCACCTTGACAATGTTGTGTCTTTAAAGATTAGAAAACTTGGGATTTTAAAATGAGATTTCCATTTCTGCTTTTTTTCCTATAAATGTTTAAATCTAAAAATCAGATTTTTTTCTTTTATTTGTAACTGCAGCTTCTTAATGTGCCTTTTAGATGAACAGCGTGATCTTTTATCTTGTACATGTTTTGTCATGTTATTTTGCAACATGTTTTTAAAGTTACTCAGCAGAATGATTTTCAAAATTGCCTGCTAGTGGTACCTCATCTATTGTCTAGTATGGAAGAGTGTAAACAGGTTTAACTTGCACAGTAAAAATTCTATTTTAATTATTTACACTTTGGAGCCTTGTTAACAGTCAAAGTCCAGGTTTTGACAAAGAATAAGATAATGAAGGAAATGTTTTGGGCATTGGAATGGATGGTATTAAATAATCAATGACAAAATAATCAACTGAAAAGATGGTGAAAAATGAAGGAATAGATTGAAATGGAAGGGGAGTCAGCATGAGTCTTTGGGAAGCCTTGAAATCAATTTGGTAATTTTGCATTAGAATTCAGTAAGGAGTAAGAAAGTTATGTAAATGATGGTCAAAGAAAGGTTTGCAGGTTTTTGTTGTTGTTTTGGGTAATGGGTTGGTTTCTTTAGGAGGAGATAAGAAAATATTTGACACTAGTGTTTTGACTGATCTGCAACCATAATTTCAGTTATTACAGTAGGATGTGATTGCAGAATTTGTAAGCACCCAGATGGGGTTGGTTTTGCTTCAGGGAATGTTTTTGGGAGAATGAGAGATAAAATCAGATGGGGAGATAGAAGAAAAAAAAGTTAGGTTTCAAAAAAATTTTAAATTTTTTACATTCTGAGAAAAGTCACTATCCAAGTTAAAAATAATCGTGAAGCTACAAGAGTATCTTTAAAGCAAAATACCAGTATTATTTGGCTTGTTAAATGAGAGGATATTACAAAATCTTATGTCCCATGCCTGGGAAGTACTTGAGAAATAGAAACTTCATACCACAAGCTTAGAAGAATAATGACTGGTGTTTGCATTCCAGTGAGATGTTTTAGGGGAAGACAAACTTTACAGGAAAGGAAAAATCATAAGGTATGCTATAGTAGCAATGCAACATACAATTTCTTTTTAATTAAAAACCTAAAAATTGAAAACAAGACTATACTGTTTCAGGAGCTAGCACCATCTATTGTACCTCGGGGACCTCTGCATCATGTTCCGCAATGTATGCATACCAACCTAGAACATATGGCCCAAAGCATTTCTCTAATTTACTTCCTAGTGATTCTTTTTATAATAGAAGTGTTTAAAGACATATTGGTCCCCAGAACTGTGAGTTCCAGTCACCTCCTGCTGCTGGAACAGCTCCTGTTTCAAACATCCAGATAATATGATGTGTCAAATATAGAAGCTGTACGGGAGAGACTGCAGCTGCCTTGATTGTCATTACTTTTAAGTTATCTTCCTGATACATGAATAGTAGAGTAAAATAATAATGGCACAACGAGGGGCTGTCTTGTATATAAACACATATGTAGAGTGTGGTCTCTTTGAAGAAAATATTTGGGAGAGTCAACTCTTCGCCCCATTTGTTTTCCCAGTAAGAACCCACTGGCTGTTGTTTCCATGTGTGTGCAGAAGCAGAGATCTTTTGAATCTGTCTTTGGTGGCTGGCATGGGAAATCGCAAGAGCAGCTAAGGAAAGTCTTAAGATTGCAGAAAGGTCAAAAGCCAGACTAAAATTACTTGAGGAATGTACCTTTACATTTGACATGGTATGTTGTGTGGACTTTAAAAAAAAACAAAACAAAAACAAACCAAACAACAAAGCACAGGTCTTGCTATAGTAAAAGATGTGTTCCTTGCTGCTTTGATAGCTATTTCCAAAACCTGGAAAATGCAGGTTGTGTGTGTCAAATTGAATGAGGTTCTGGTTCTGGGCTAATAATGGAAATATTTCTGGCAGCAGGAGGAATAGGAGTTTGCAGTTGGTTTGGTTTGGTTTGGTTTTCTTTCTGAATTTTTTTTTTGAGAGTGTGCTACTTTCTACAGTAAAGGTACAGGTTGGGGTTGTCCTTTTCATAAAATCAATAATATTTCTGTGATATAATCTATAAGAAAGTGGATCATGTTAAAATTACTGTGTAAATTCATCTGCTCAAACTGGCTAAATGCATGTTTATTATCAAATTAATTTTGAAAATTAATTTCCAATATATACATTCTATTAGTCTATTATTTTGAGTGTTCTGTATTAGTAGCACAAGCCTGTCAAGTTTTGGGGTCTTAAATATGACTATCACAGGAGTAAGATCTATTCGGTAAGAGGAATAATTACATAAGTAAATGGAAAATTATGTTTAGTGCTGTTTGCAAAGTTAATTAGTATTTATGGGTGATAGTGATTTTATAGTGCTATAGGCTGAAGGGCTTTTTTATTGGAGAGAGGTCATTGAAATTTGGCAATGCAGATTTCCTTACACGCATGTCCTGTCATTACTTGAAGGGGCTACCTCTTTGAGCCAGAGATGAGTTCAGTCGTCATGCCAATTTAATCCTTTCCCTCTCTTCTGAGAGTACAGTGGATGTAATGCAGCTTTCTGTGAGATGAAGCATTCTCTGAACAGAAACTTATAACTCACTTCTGATAGAGGAGAGCAAAGAGGGAATTACTGTGTTGAGATAATTTTCTGAATTTTTAGAAATTTTACTTCAATTTTAATGATTTTAAAATAAATCTTTTTTTAGACCTGTACTCTTGCATTCCACCTCACTGTGGTCGTAGCTCTGAATAGGGTTTTACCCTCAGCTATGCTGCTTTTAGTTTTGTTAATAAAAAGTGAAAGTTAATGTGAAAGCAAAGTGTTTCATGTTGCCAATTTAATTTCTTTAATTAAAAGTGAAAGTTATAAGCTGGTACAGCCGTGGGTGAAGTTCTAATGTCATCAATGGGGGAAAATAGGTTTAAAATTGAAACTGTTGGCACAGCAGTGGCTCTCAATAGTACAGCACCTGCAGTTGTGACTCTTAACTTTATTTAATGAAAAAAGATGAATTTGAAGCATTAAAGACTCCCAGTATATGTATTGGGAAGGGGGAGTAGAGCTGTAAGTGCCTTAACTGGGATCAGAAGTTGCTGAACGCAGGAGACTTATTTAAGAGGAGAGACCCTGTGAGATGTTTTCTAACACAGGTTTAACAAGCTGAGAGTTCAAAATTAGTATCAATCTAGTAGAAAACTTTTTTTGTTAGTGGGACAAAATGTAACAACAGTGCAGCTTTGACATTACAAATTACAACAAAATACTGAATAGTTATCATAATTAAATACATCAGAAGGACGGTTGGTTTGCCCATCTGCATAGACACACAGAGTATCCTCCAATTTTAAAAATAATTGTTGCAAATATTTAAGTATTACATGAGTTATAGATATCATTATTATTTTTAAAATACTGTTGCATTCTAATTTAAGACAATTCTATGAAATACAAAATCCCCTTCTTAAAATTACGCTCTTACATGTGTAATTAGATGTCTGTTTTTTGTGGCATTCTTCCTTAACACAAGCAAGGGGAAAAGCTGAGGTTTGGAACATTAGGGAGTTTGGTAACATGTAAATGAAACCCCATATTTCTAATGTGTTTTGAATACACATTTAACATATGCTGCTTTTCATACTTTCAAAGTCTTAATATTTCCATAGACCTAATGTGATCTATGCAATTTTCAGATAAATAAGATAGCAAGTTCTCTAACACAAAGCACTTTCATGCTTAACAATTAAAATAACAGGCTGTCTGGTCTAATAAAAGTAGTTTATGTTTGGGAGAAATGTTAACAAACCTGGTTTGGTGAATAAGTTCTCAGTAGCAGACAGCATTTAATGTATTTAAAAGTATGTTATCTGGTTAGGATCAGTCCTAGGTTTCTCTAAAATTATTATGGGAAGCTAGCTTGCTTCTAAAGGTGTTTATTCATCAACATGAAAATCTATTACGTAAACCCACATTTCTTTATTTACAGATCTAGACATGAAGAATAGAGAGGGGAAGGGAAAGGAGTTGTGATAAACTCCATTGAAAGTGTTTGAGTTGGGGGGGTTCTGTGATTGGTGGGTGTTTCCGAAGCTTTAGAGGAAGGAGGCATCGGTGCATTAAAAGATTTTGGAAAAACATGTTTCACAAAACAGGTGAGATGCAGCATGTTAAGATTTGGATGTTGGAGGGAAAGGAGAAAGGAAGACAAAACCGAAAATATGAGATGAATTCGAAGAAAAAAATTGAACTGGAATTAAAAAAACTAGGAATGATTTGTCAGTAGCTTGACAAAAGTAAATGTAAAATATTAAAATAATTGGTGACTAAAAATGGTGAGATATAGACAAGCACTACAAGAGCTGAGCAGCAGCAAAATTGTTCAAACTCTTCAGAGGAAGGAAAAGATGTTCACATGTGGAATGGAGTGTAAAGAGAAGCTAGTGATATTTTTAAAGCTTGTCTAAGCACCTCTATTAAGCTTGACATTTTCATTTGCTTGTATTTGCTTTAATCTGTGTTGCATCGGCATTGAAGAAGCCTTTTATAATTTACATTAGATCGTAAAGTGAAGAATTAATAAAATAGTCAATGTTTATACTTTTTCTTTTCCTTTAACACATTGTAGCCTCCATACGCTGATGGTTTTATTTCTGAAGCTTACTGATTTGCAAACTGACATGGTAGTCAGCAGGGAGGTATTTTAGTCTTTAACAATGTTTTAAAAATAAAATCTATTAAAATTTATCTGAACACAAAAAGAAACAGAAAATTACAGTTAAATTCCTTAATTTTATTAGTGTTACTTATACCAGTAATGACACATCCAGTGTAAAGTTGGAATTCTACTTGACTGAAACAAGAGCTAGCCTGAGCTCTTTGAAAAGGCCATTTGGTGTGGGTTCAATAACCAGAAACTCATTGCGTTATTCTAAATGTAGAAGTAGTTCTATCTTCACCTTCAATCTGGGTTTAGATATCTAACATCACCTGGTATTTTAAATCTTCATTACTGAAAAAATTCCTGTGTTTAATATCAGTCAGGAGTTGAGTATCTGTTTTTTACCTCTGCAATAATTTTTATTATTTATTTATTGTGAATGAGCTGGAGGTTTACACAGAGTAGATCATCTGCTTTTTTGCCTGCTTTTGGGGTCTGCTTTTTCAGATTATCCTGAACTCCAGGTCTACTTTTATTTGGTCAGTTTCTGAAAAAAAAAAAGCCCTAACTTTTAAATGTGTTATTTTTTTTTAATCTGTAGCACTTTCAGAGTTTTTCCTTCACTTATGGAGTCCAGGAAATTGCAATGTTACTTTGCATCTGTTGCTTTAATTTTTCTTACAATGTCCCCAAACATAACATAGATCTGGTATGTTTTCCAGGATTCTATCTCTTTCTTGTAGAAACTTGGTAACAATATTAGAAGTCTCAGCTTGATTCTACCAGGACACTCTGCTTTCTCCTTAAGCTGAACTGCTTTTAACTTGTACTTTGCATTTGGCAAATGATTCAGCTTCATACAGTAATATAACAATACTTTGTATTTCTGTATGGCTTTCACTACAAGACTCGGAAGGCAATAGAAGTTCATTGTACATTTATAAATTTATCATCAAAACCCATGAAAGGGCTAAATACAATTTTCCATACATCATACTGGAGAAACTGAGGCACACAGTGATTGAACTGTCATCATGAAATGACAGAGCAAGGACCTAATTCAGCTCAGTTCATAAATACTTACCTAAGTCCATCTCCTAGAGAAGCAACTCATTGGATGGTTTTTTTGTTTGTTTTTTTTAACCTAATAGGTATAAATAGAATCAAGTTCTTAGGAATTGCTCTACTGAATAGACTCCCAACTCTCTGGGAGATCCACATATTTCATGAAATGCCATTTTGTTCTTTAAATATTAACTAGATCACATTATCTACATTTTTCCTTCTGTCTGACCACAGCAGTTAGAAGGAATCTCAGTCTATGTTAAGTTGGAGTTTCTTTCTTGGTTGGCACAACTGCAACATGAGAGTCTAATTTGGTCATTAGCTGTCTACAGATTTTAATTTCTCATTACGTTACTCCAGACACTATCCTGTCAAACTTTTATACTAACAGGCACAAAATCACTAGTAGGTGGTGTTGGAAGATGAAGCTACTGTGCACAGTGAGAAGAGTCAAGCACATCTTCTAAAAATCTCATTATTGTTTAATTTGGCCATGCTTTGTCATCACTGTGTTTTATATGTGTGCTATATTAGCTGAAAAAATAATCCCAGTTTAAAAAAAAAACAGGAAAAAGAATAGAGAATTCGGTGTCATTGGTGCCCTGTCTGCCAAATCATAGTCAAGGCTCTCTCCAGGTATATCAACAATATTACATGTCCCCTTACCCTTAAAACCTATCTCCCTTTAGTTTTCTTCATGCATTTTTAACTTCTGAACTGAATATGTTATGAAAAATTCAAACAACAGGAAAAAATCTGAGCATACGTTAGTTTGCAAGCTAATATTCTTTCAAGTTTCAGGTCTATCTTCAGCATAGAATGAGGCAGAGAAAGATAGATGGGAGAGGGCATAGATATTCTTATTCCTTTAGGAGTTGTGTAAATGATATCACTTTAAATCTCAAAGAAATGCCAAAAAAACCCAATTACATCTTTCATGTATCAGGAACAACAGTTTTCCATGGATGTCGCAAGTTTTATTGCAGCATCTTAACAACTTTTTATGCAACCTTTTCTGAATACTGACCAATCATGCAATTAAAAAAGTATAATGCGTATATTATCTACCTCTTGCATTTTGAATTCCATCAATTTGAGTATGCTTAGTGAGCATAAATAAGAATTTAATAGTTTTAACATATGGTTGTAAAACAGTCTGTATCTGAAGAAATATACTGTTATGGGTTGTTACTGCAATTAAACAGTTAGAGCTATTGTTCCTGGTTTTGAAGGAAAATACAAAAGTTGCCATTTGGCGATATTTCTTCAGTTTTAAAAACTACAACATTAATATTATTTGTAGTGCATGAATGAGTTTAACTTATGTGTATTTCTGTGCTGTACTCAACGTAAGTTCATACGGATAGTAACATCTTTATTATGAAGATTTACTGTTTGGGAGGGTGACTTTACAACTGTTTGCTCCACATTCTCTACCAACAGCTGAATAAAAGCTTAGTTGCAAACAGTAAATTATTTTAAAATAAGTGACTGTAAGAAGTTTAAATTAAAAAGATCACATAATGGAAAGGGTGTCACTTCCGCTCTTGGATGCTTGAAGTTGTTTTTATTAAGTAATTGAAATCTAAACCTGTATGGAAACTTTAGCATTGACAGAAACATGGTCTTTTTTTTTTTTTATTTTAATCTAGGGTAGATCTTATTTACAATTGAATATTTAACAGTCTTTTGGGTGAGGCCTAAGGGTTGGAAACTGCAGTTCTATGAATTTAGGCATCCCATCTTTGACACCTTGTATCCTGTTCCCCTTTCTTTGCTATTTTTTAACTTACTGCAACAGATGAGGGGTTCTTAAACCATCTGTTAACCTTTTTTCCCCATTTTTTTTCAAACATGTAGAGTCGCTCAAGGCAAGAAGACCCAGAGCAAGCTAGACTGAAACAAAAAGCAAAGGAGGTAAGCAGAGCTAGAGATCATTACACTTGACATTTCAAGGCTTGAACATATTAATTTTTTATGCCTTGCTACTTGTATATCGTTAATAAAAATCTGACTAAAAACTTTTTAGGATGTATTTGTTGCTTTGCCTTTGATCTTAATGTTTGCAAACTAATACATTAATACATGTGAAGCCTAAGGAGATTTTATAAGAGAATATTTCCATACATTACATTTTCATTTCCATTTTAGGTAGCTGTAGCTTTTGTTGGGTTGTTGATGACAGCAGCGTTAGATTTTGGTGGAAAATATATGCCTTTGTCTCTTTGTAAAAATGTCACTTTCTTAGAAATGTGTTACTTAACAATTTTGTTCTGGTAACAGTCTTTCAAGTAATATAATTGCCAGTCATTTTCTCTATAGTGTGGTTCAGTGGACTATTTACTCATCAGTCTAAACTACAATAATCTAAAAATTATCAAATAATTTCAGATTAAGTTTTGATATGTTATTCTAAGAATAACAATTGGTGAACTACTGAGTACCTTAATTTGCTGTAAATAAGAGTGGCTGTCCTTTGCTTCAGGCATCTCCTGGCTTAGGATCGGGTTGTAACAAATCAATTAGAAAGACGAAAATATCTATCAGTTGAAAGTCATTCCTATTTTAAAAAATTATCAACATCATTTGCAGCAAACTGATGCTAGGTTTTTTTTAGCCAACTTCTTTGGATATATACATTAGAAAGTAATAATTATACATTAGAAGGTGATACATACAGAAAAATGCGTATAACAAGTTCTTTTGCATTGACTCGTTCTTCCTGTTTTGTTTCCCTTTTGGCAGTATTCTGTAGTTCCGTTAGCTGTACAGATTTTATATACATATAACAGTAAAAAAAAAAATCCATGTACGTGGTTGAGTTTTATTTATCTTTTTTTTTTCATTATGCGATTATGTAGTAAGATTTGCTGAAATGAGGTCTTGTAAACATTAGGCCATGCCTTAGTGTTTCCAGAGTTGGGTTTGTCAAGCAAGTATTCAAATGAAATAGAGTAATCAAGATATTTGGCAGGAAAAGACACAGGATTTTAATATTACTTGAGTTTAGTATGTAGCCAGTATATGCAAAGGAGGAATCAGATTTGTGAAAATAATTGATGGCAGGCAAAACTTGCTGTTGAGCTGAGAACTGAAACTGCCATGCTGCTGGAAGTGAAAGCAAGCTAGAAATAAATGCATTTCTTGTTCCCACAGTATTTGCATTCATTGTAATTCTTTTTTGGCCATTGGAAACTTGAGGAAGCAAAAGCAAACAACAGGGCTAGTAAAAACGCATTTTCTAGTAGTCAGAGTGAAATAGTGGTTCTCTTTATAGCTGTGATAGAAGACTTGCACTCTAGCCAGTGTTGCTTTTGGTGTAGCTGCAGGAGTACTTCTCCCTTGTATGAAAATTCGGGTTGTCCATGTAAGCTGTGTTTCTTACCCACTAGAGGGAGTGACGCTGTGCTGACGTGAATAAAAGAAAGTGTATTAAATGTATTTTGAGTAATGGTAATAGTTGTATTAGTAAAGAGGTAGCAAATATTTTGGTGGTAACCTAATTAAAAATGCTTAGATCAAACTGGTATGTGATTTTAAAGTAGTGGTGTTCCTGGATATGATAACGTGTTTGAGTAAATGCAGAATGAATACTTGGTTTTCTGTTTGAGTGCTGCACCCTATTCTTTTGTACATTAGCCCTGCCTTTTTTCCCATCCTTCTAATGAAAGTGTATAATTTGCTGGCACCATGCCTCTCTCTGAAGTTGAATTTCATTCTACGTATTTGAAACCATAAGAAATATAAGCATGTCTCTGTTTTTAGTAATTAGGGTTCTAAAGCTCTTTCTTCAACTAGTTTAGAGACTTTTACTTAAAATATTCAAATATATTTAATAAAAACATTATTTTGCATTAACTTTTGCAAAGGGGAGTGGACAAGTGGGACTGGCAAGATTTTAGTTTAATATTGTTCATCTTTTTTTCTGCATTGGATATTGAATATATGCTAATCTCTCATTGTATTGGCACTGACAAAATAAAAAATAACTAATTTTATAGTATAAAAGGTCGATTAGATAGTGTCTTTGGCGTGGCTTTGTGACTTGAAGTTAAAAGTTTTGCATAAACTCCTACAAAAATGTGAAAATTTCAAAACTCCACTGCCAGCTAGGCTACTCTTAAATGTGCATATGACCCATAACTGAGAGAGAAATTGGGTTTCTTCTAGGTTTTGTATAAGCTGATGAATATAATACTGTCAGCTTTGATAACAAGCTGGTTTTGAAGCTTTGTTTCCATGATTTTCATGTTTTGAATATTGCCTGAAGATGTTTGCTGCTTGGATATTCTGGCCAGTAGTAAAGTGCCTACTAGGTAGTGTTTTAAAAAGCATAAAGAGGGCATCCAAGAAACCTGCAGCATTTTTAGCTTGTGTTACTTGTTTAATGATATGATTGTCAGATAGTTTGTTTTTTCCTATCAGCAAGGCAGCTGATAATTTCATTATTATGTTCTGGAAGTGGATAATGTTTCAGACTTCACAGTGTGCCTACGATTGAACAGTGACGCTACTGCATTCCTTCTGCTAACCAGGCAGTCTGGAACTGTCCTCTTCTAAACTGAGTGTGCTCAATACTATACCCTGGTTCCCTGCCAGACAGAAAGGGATTAATACCTAAAACAAATGTAACCAATATATGAAGTCTGATAAAGAGAGTATAGCCCAAGATACTTAATGAAGACAAAAGTCAGAGGGAGAAAGTGAAATACCAAAGGAAGTAATTTAAAGTCTTTAAGAAAGTCTCTTAAATCTTTAAGAAAAACTTTTCAAAACATTGAAAGAACTCTGGAAAACATGTGTCTTGGAATGCAAAATAAAGGTACCAACACAAGGATAATAGGATGAAGGGGCAGGAAGGAAGACTAGCAAAGGGTATATGTTCCAAAGCATTCTCCTTTATGGATATTTTGGAGTCTTTCATTCCATAACACTCTTGTTTTCTTCCTAATTTAAAAAGAAAAAAAAAAAAAGTTAAATTTTTTTCATAGAACTTCTACCATTATGAAGTCCCCTTCTTGCTTATTGGTGTCATCCAGAAAATGTACGGGGAGATCCCTATGTCCTTTGAACACATTTAAAAATGAATTTGGTAAGGTGAAGATTATTTTATGTTTTGTTCCATAACTCGGTCTTACTCCATTTATTAGCCAGTCTTCAAGCCACTCTGCATATTGTTTAAACCAAACTGGCATAAATCAAGTTTAAATTGCATTTAAATACTTACCAAAACAAACAGAAGGTCCATCTACATATGGTCTTATTGCAGAGACTAGACATAACAGTCAGGTTTCATTCACACACAGACTAGCATTGTTTTAGTTAAGTCAGTGCAAACCCACTCTTACTTCAGTTTGATTGACTTATTTTGCTTTAGCATTAACCTGTTTCAAATGGACTTGAGTGAAAGCAGTAGGATAATGTGCCTGTGGGGGTTTATATTGCTTAATACTCTCTGCTTACTTTCACACTTTTAAATTGGTGCAGCTTTTTGTATGTGGATGTTATATGATTGTTTTAATGGTAAACATATTAGTGAAAAATATTTTCCATTGAGACTATTTCAGGGAAAAATGCTGCTTTTCAGCTGTTACTTGTTAAATTGTTTTGTAACGTAAATTCTGAAATGCTTGACTCTCAGTACAACTTAGTGTAAGAAATAGCATCATTTGTGAGCAGTGTCTGCTTCATATTGTGTGATTAAAGCTTTTAAAATCAAGTTTTAGAAAATACACTGTGATTTATGTAGTCCGTTGGAAGCATGGAGAGTCACAAATATAAGTTAAAGAAATTATGAGTTCTCTAATTTCCATTAAAAGGGTTCATTAAATAGGACATAAACCAGGCCATATAACTGATAGCAGGCATAGATCAAGATTGGGAATAATTGAGTCAACACCTAGTAATTAATAATATAAATTATTTAAAAGAAAAGACAGGGAAGGTAAGATCCTAAACGTCCTTTCTGTCACGGGTATTTTTCTACATATTCAGTGTCTGTTGGCTAAAAATCTTTTATTAAAAGTCAAGTAGCTGAGTTTGATCGTGAGAGATTAACTTAGTTAAAATCTTTTGTGTCATCACCAACTAAGAATATTGCATAATAATAAAAGCTTAAACCAGACACCATAAATGTCTGGGCACATATCCAGGACCTAGATCAGTTTAGGTAACAGATGTATTCTCAGATGTACTCCTTAACCATGCAAGTGAAATCTCAGACCTGTTGATACTCATAATATAGAAGCTTTAATGATTTCAAGAGAAGACAGCCCTTTACATACCTTTATCAGCACAGATAGCCCATCTTTCTAGGATTGGATAAAGTCCTTTAACAGTGATATGTATTGAAGCAGGTTGCTGTTGTGACTGTTACACTGGCTAGGAGCTTTGGGAGTACCCAGTTCTTGCATAAGCAGACCAGGGACAGGCTTTTTCCATACTCCCAGGAGTTGTATCCACTGCAGCATTGTGGTAAGCACTCGGCTTGGGTACTGTCATCCCCCATGTCTGCAATGTCTTCTGTAACAAGAGTCTTACTTGGCTAAGTTTTAGATTTTGAACTGTATCCTTTTTTGAGTTACATACACAAAAATATCTGGACTGTTAGCAGATAGAGTTCTATAAGAAGCCATAGGATCCTTCTCTTACTTAAAAATAGTAATGAAATATGTACATCATATGATGTATATCTTATGTGGCTCTAACACTGCCTTAGAAATTTTAAATCCCACATAAAAAGGTAACTTGTCTTAACAGTATTACTGAAACTCCAGCATCATATGTTTAACAATTAGATTATGAAAACAATTTTAGACTAAATAATTTCGTGTCATCACATTAATATTTATTTATCAACTCAGTAGGAGTGGTTTCTTTTAAAATATTTAAATAATAGTTTACTGCAGTTATCCCTG